CCCCCCCCCCCTTCCCCTTCATCTTCCCTCCCGCCTTCCCACCCCACCGCATGCCGAGAAGATCAAAGACCCTTCGCTTCAGCTTCATGGCCACGGGCGAGGTGGTGTCGAAGGCGTTCTCACTCGTGCGTTGCGAAGAAACGACCGCCCCTTGGGTGCCAGTCGTAGATCTCTTCAGGGCGAAGCCGGCGGCGGTGATACCTGCAGAGAGACGAGGGACAAGACGTCGATTGAATAACGTCCTCGAGAGAAAATGCAAACGACCAGATTTAAATGTGTGTGGATGGATAGGGAGGGGCAGAGGGAGGGGAGAGCCCGCACAAAACCCTGGCCTACCAAGCGTCGTTTCGATCACTTCGTCAGCGTCTTCGGCGGAAAGAAAATTCTCCAACATAAAGACACGTGGGGAATCGGAGAGGGTCTCGAGAATGATGGGATGTCCGGGCAAGGAGGACGTGACCCCAGGCACGGCCACGCGATGGCCGATCTCGAAGGCTGGCCATACAAAATGCCTGCTGGGGGGGACGGCAAAGAGGAGTTGCTCGTCGTGTAGGGCCCCCAGGGCTTTAATTTCGTAGCCGTAACGGTCGAAGACACGGCAGGTCCCGCCGTGACACGCGTCAATCACAAGGCCCACGGCAGATTTGAGCTCCTCGATCGATGTCGTTGTCTTCGGCTCCAGATACAAGGAGCCAGCAGGAGTGCTCTCGCCGTTGTCATGAATGAGTACGGTCATATTTCGTGACAGAGTAGGGGCAAGACGGCGATTGACCTCCTTGCTTGTCCTCCGTCTTTGCTTTTGTCTCTGGGCTTTGTGTGGCATCTGTGCCGCATCCCAATTCGAGAGGCTTGGGACGTCAGATACTGCCCCTGAATAATCTTGCAGGAGGTTGATAATGTTGTCCGCCAAATCCATGCCTTGGGATTGGTGTTGCAAGCCCAGCGCGAATGCAATTGCCATGATGGCGAAGATGACTACGAAAGGTGCAGAAGTCCAAAGTTTAAAAAAGGAAGAAGGGGCCGTGTTGTCGGTCGGGCGTGTGTTTTCCTCGCGCTCTCCGCTATGACCAGAGTCAGGAATTATGCCCTTGTTGGTCGTCTTTCTAGGAGAGGACATTGAGGAGGATTTGCCTTTGCGGCGAGTCGTCATTGCCGTTTGCTGTAAAAAGAGATGTATTGTGGAGGTGATATGCTATGTGACAAGAGGGAGACATGTGTTGGAGCGAGTACTTCCCGGACGCATAACACCAAACAAGTCGACCATCGCCCCAAGTCAATGCACTCACATTTCCCACATATGCTTGCACGACCCCACTTCAAAAAAATGGAGGGTTATCAAGTTTACATATGTCCAAATGGACATATTCTTGGAGCGAATGCGCAGAACAAGGGGTTATGCTTCGCTTGACAAATTTAAATTCAATGGATCGGATCGCTCCTGTGCGGTGCTGCTTGACGTTCGCATGGTCCACCCGGCCGTATTCCAACTAATTCCGTATCCATTGTTCTTACAGAGATGAGACGAAGCCTCTTCGTCTCTGCACTTGGTTTGACTACGTCGTTATCATTGCTCTTGGCAACGCGCCGGGCTGCGGCTTTTGCCCTGCCTGCAATACCTTTCTTCCACTCTTCACGGGGTTGGACCTCCGTTATTCCAGTTCGAGATCAGAGTGCCACTGCTAGAGCCCACAAGAGCAGCCGGAAAGGGGGACAGTATAGCGTCAGAGAAGGTCAGGAGCATCGCACGTCAACGCGTCCGCGAGCACGTGAGACAGAGGTCGAGCCTGCCGCACGTATCCAGCGAGATTATCCTCATGTGGTCCTTCGAGCGGGCAAAGCCCGTTTATTCTTGGAGGGCAACCCCTTAGTGTATGGAGAGGCCGTGCATGAGGTGGTGGGCCATGTGGCTGACGGAGATTTTGTCGAGGTGGTCGATCACAGGGGAAATTTGATCGGCAAGGGGTGCTACAATTCACAATCCATGTACCGCGTTCGTCTGTTGTGGCATGCAAGGGAGAAAGGGGAGGCTCTCTACGCTTCGTCATTGGAGGATATCGTTGCCCGGCGGGTAAGTACTGCCTGGGCGACTCGCCAAGCTCTGGGCTTGCCCAATGCCGAAACAACGTGCTTTCGTCTTGTGAATGGCGAAGGGGACAAATTGAGCGGCCTGGCTGCGGACGTCTTTGACAAAGTCTGCGTCGTCTCGAGCAGTTCCTTGTGGTGTGAGAGGCACAAAGACTTCATTATCCAAGGACTGGAGGCTTCTCTCGGCCCAGCGGGGATTTCCACGGTTTGGCGCCGGAGCGAGGCCCGGCTCAAGCAGGACGGGTTTGTGGACCCGGAGGAGGCCCTCAGACCCGCCATCGACGTCAAGGCGGAGGCGCGGAAAGAAGGGGCATACGTGTGGGCCAAGGAGGCGGGCTTGAAGTACAAGGTATACCCGGAGCTGGGTCAAAAAACGGGGTTTTATTGCGACCAGCGTCAGAACCGGCAAATGATTCAGAGCCTCTCCCGTGGAAAACGCGTCTTGGACCTCTTCTGTTACACGGGGGGGTTCGCATTGAACGGTACGGCGTCGGCGCGGGGGATAGGGTGTCAAAAAGGGAAAGGACGACTTGAGGGGTGCATAGTGAACGGGGAGAGCATGGCCAACGAAATTTTGACGGAACGGCATCCATGGGACGCAGGCTTGAACTTCGTGCATACACTGTGTGAACCTCGTCTGTCTTTCCATTCTACCCTTTTCCTCTGCAGCGGCCCGGGGGGGTGCCCGCGAAGCCATCGGAGTCGACAGCTCCGCCCTGGCGATCGAGACTGCGATGGAGAATGCGCGGGCGAACGACCTGGAAGGCCATGCCACGTTTTGTAAGTCCGACGTCCTTGTCTACGCTCGCGACCTGGGCAAAACCGGCGAGAAAGCTTTCGACATCGTCATTGCCGACCCCCCCAAACTCGCCCCGACCCGGCGTGACCTGCCGCGAGCCCTGCACAAGTACCTGAAGATCAATCGCGCGGTGTTTCGGATGGTGGCGAGTGGTGGCTTGGTCCTGACCCACACCTGTTCGGCCGCGCTCACCCAGGACCCGGAAGAGTTTCGGAAGATGGTCACTCAGGCGGTACGTGCGGAGGAGTGTAGAGGTGGCGGGGAGGAGGAGATAAGGGGTTCGAAACGTGGCGAAGGGTGCAGGAATGCTACGTGACAGGGAAACGAGAGGGGAGAAGTAATGGCTCAAGCGGTTCGACTCGATTTCCCCCACCCCATCCATTTTCCATCCCCAGGCGCACGACGTAGGGCGCTCCATCACCATCCTGCAAGTCAGCCACGCGGCCCCTTGCCACGTTCAATCCCCCGTCTACGGGGAATCGAACTACCTGACAGCGATGCTCGTGGCGGTCTTCTAGACGCGTGCTCGCGGGAGGAGGATTCGTGCGTAGTGTGGATATGGACAGGAACGCATGGGAGAAATGAACGCTGTTGAGGGAAGCCTCTGGCGAGAATAGGTCTTGCGGGATCCGCCCTGGTGCCAAAGTATATGCTGTCGTTACGGTGCCTGGTCCTCAAAGACTAAAGCAAAGTAAATAACTACCACTACTTCCATCCTGGCAGGCCTCGCTACAGCAGGTCTGGAGGATTCTGATTCCATTTTGTGCCCATGCACGGTCCTTCTCCTCTTTTGCTTTTGCGTCTGTCCTCTTTCTCCTTTCCTACCGTGGACTGTCTTCTTTCCCTTGCAGCATATTTTGGGGCGTCCTAAAGGGCCTTTACGCGCCCCTTCCTTCACCAGGATCACCTCCATCCCTCCTCCCCGCTCTACTGCAAAGCCTTCCCTCCTCGCCACCCTAACCCTCTAACTCCTCCTCATTCCGCAGATGGGCTCTTTCCTTCCCTTCCGAGTCTCTCAAATGATAAAGACGTGCTATTGCAAGCAGACATGCATCAGTCACCGCTACCCAACCCTCCTATAACCCCCTCTCCCTCCCCCAAAGACTTCCTCTACTCTCCATCACTCCCCGGCATTCCTCCCTCTTCCTACACAGCGCCATGGCAAATGATGGTGTCCGCCACCCGCAAGAAGCCCGCCATGATCGCACCTGCGTGCATGTCGCCCCGAACGTTAAACTCCTTGGCCGTGGCCTTGGCCTCCAGGTAGATCGAGTCCACCGCCTCCTTGATCCGCCCGTCCAGGTCGTGCATGGACGGCGAGCTCTGGAAAAGGAAAGTGGTAGGGGGAAAGCATCAGGGTTCGGGCGCATGGCGATTGCGACAAGCTCAAGCTCTCTATGCCATGCGCCGTTCCATATGAGATTCCCCATCCCTGCCCCTCCCTCGCTTTTCCCTCCCACCTGTCTCCTCCCCCTCCTCCTTCCTCCCTTCTGCTCACCTTGGAAAGCTCCAAGCCGTTGAAAATCGAGTCCGCCGCCAAGGTG